TGTAATTTGATAGATGCCTGCCTGCCTGCCTGCCTTCCTTCCTTCCTTCCTTCCTTCCTTCCTTCCTTCCTTCCTTCCTTCCTCCTTTCCTTTTTTTCTTCTTTCCTTTCTCCCTCCCTCACCCTCCTCCTCCCTCCCTCCCTCTCCCTTCCTTCCTTCCTTTCTTTTGTTCTTTCTTTCTTTTTTTTCTTCTTCCCTTCCTCCCTCCCTCCCCCTGCTTCTCCCTCCCTCCCTTTTCTTCTTTCTTCTTCCCTTCCTCCCTGCTCCACCTCCTTCTCCTCCATCCCTCCTCCCTCCCTCCCTCCCTTCCTTTTCTTTCTTCTCCTCTCTCTCCATCCCTCCCTCCCTTCTCTGTCCCTAAAAAATTCCCAAGTTGCCATATACTCTTTGTCAACCTCTCTCAGCTTTTGTTAGGTCAGAGTAGAAACTAGGTAAAGTAATGAAGCCATAAAGGAATCAAGTTTCTTAAAAGAACTAACAAGACAAAATGTAGAAGATGAATTTGAGACAGAGAGAAGGAGGGAGAGAGAGAATGAAAGAGGGAGGGAAGGGTATCAGTTCCAGAGTATTTGACTAAATGTAACCAGCAAGAAATCTATACTTGGAGTTCCATTTTTATTCTGGAGACAATGTCACATAATACATGGCAAAACCTGTAAGATTTAATAAGATAAATATCTTGCTCCTCATTAAAATGTTGATGAATTCCTTCTTTCTTCCTCTCAAAAATCAGGAGAAAATCAGACAGTTATCAAAAAGAATAGATCTGTGAATCTGTGGTGGGGGGAGCAACTTTAGGATGAAAAAACAATGTGTGAGTTAAATTACAACATATAATGGGTATATTTTGATGGACAAACTGTCACTCAGAAAAATCTGCTACAAGCTCTGAAATATAGCTAAAAAGAAAAGTAAGAAAAACAAGGATGATCTTAACACAGAAACTTGGCATGCTGAACTGGAAGGCCTAGTTCTCAGTTCAGATGTGCAATATTGATTTGGGATTGGCATTTGATGGAATTCACTCATTCCAGGGCTGAGATATATCTGAAATCTACCTGAAAATCAGATGCAAAAGAGAAGTTCTTTTTGGAACTTAGGAAACACTATGAGAAAAAAAAATCTCCATGCTTTTATCCCAACAATATTCCTGGAATATTTACTATGAGGAAAGGAAAATGTACTTCAGTCATCTTATGATTTAGTCTTTCATTCCAATGGAATTTCAATGATAGTAGAAGATTCTAAAAATATCAGGTGTGGACAAAAGGAAATCATATAAATTAATTGTTAACACAATAAATAAAAGTATTTCATTAATTAAAGACTGTTGTATGTTCAGTGATCATCACCTGTATTAAAGGAACTCCACCTTGCTTCCCCACAAATATAGAGTCATTGTAAAAGGGGAAAAAAAGGGGGGGGTCAGGTTACTATAGCCCCAAAGTATTTAAGAAATTATTTTAAAGGAATTTGCAATGTACTGGGGTTTTTTTTTTTTAATTCAAAAGCCAATGTTTGTCCATGTGGAAAAGAACTAGTCTTATGAAAAGCCTCACATGGACACGCAAAATCGATCCCATGCTCAAGGGGTAAAGGTAGAAAGAAATACAGAACATGCATTCGTAGAACCTGTTAAACAGATCGGAATTATTCTGATCCCACCTCTATTGTGTAACAGAAACAGGATGTTTGCATTGTCTTCATAAATGCTTTCTAATTTGCAAGGCGAGACTTGTGGGAGCAGTTTAATGATGTCACATTAATGCTTGCATTTCTATTAAGAAGTCATAAAAATGTGCAGTTAAAAATGTTTGCAAGATGCAAGGAAGAAATGCTGGAAACTCTAATCATTCATTCTGAAAGAGATTCACACACACACACACACACACACACAAAAAAAAAAAAACCAACCCCAACAACCCCAAATATTTAGGACTGAACTGCAAAGTTGGAGAAGGCAATAATATCCCAAGCATATTTATTTACATGCAAAGGAGACACGAATCAGTAAAAATAAGCAGAATACATTCTGACTTTAATATCAGTCATGAGGAGGTCTTGTAGGGGAAGAAAATGTAGTATTCATATCAGTGGCCTCAAGTATCCAGCTAAAGATTGACCATTGACTTTACCTAGTTGGGAGATCATTAAATCAGATCTCATTCTCCTTCCTATGATTTAATATGATTTAATGATTTGACATCACACGGAGGAAGTCTGAATATGAAGGCTCTAATCAGTTGTGCATATAATTTATTATTACACCCACCCACCAATGCTATACAATTAGCGCTCTATTGTCTCTACAAGATGCCCCTCCAGAGAAACATAACAAACACCAATTTCATACGGAAGGTCATTTGAAAGATATTGTCTTAAAGATGCAACATTTTCAAAGGGACATGTTGGATCTGAAATTACAGCGCTATATTTATATAATTATAATAGTTCTAGAGGAGTAAGACATATCATGCTTCCGAGTTAAAAATTTTTAGAATTAGGATGCATGGAGTACAGAGCAATGCTCCCATGTTGTTTTTATTTCTGAGGAATGCAGAACAGGAACTTGAAACAGAGATTCTGAGATAAGAACACTGTTTAGGGTCAAAATATAAAATAAAATTTTAATGTAGAAAGAAATGTAACTCAGAAAAACCAACTGCCATTCCTAAGAGCATCCATTAAAGGATTTGAGTAATAATATATTGCTTTATATAATTGCTATTTACAATTCTGATCTAAATCCTGTTCTTTATTTTTCCCTAGACAGGCTTAATTTCCACCCCCATCCACCCCAATACCGAATAGAATATTGTCTGTCTCAGATACATTGCATATGTGCAAGCAATGTATAGATTGCCAAACCGAGAGAAAACTAACTCACTTATTTAATACACTAAACTTCAGGTTCTTCCTGTCTTATGTGAAATGGCTTGAAACAGGAGGCAGCTGCCAAGGAACATCACTTCTTCTTTGCTCAAGAGAGACAAGGGAAGAAAAATGAAGGGGGGAAAAGTCCCTGGATGGATACTACAATAGCATGTCTTTCATTATCGCCCTGTGTCAAGGCACTGTGTAATACTCATTGTGCATGCATAGTAAATTCCTATTTACCTGGCAGTTTCTTTGATAAGTCAGTCTTTCTTTCCTCTTTCTGTCCACGCAGCATGGAACAGGCTTTTTTTTTTCCTTTTTGCCTATAATTCTTATTAGGTGATACCTTTTCTGAATAAGAAAGCACACTGTTCCCAAAGAGGCATTCTCTGGAGTTTTTAAGGGCCATTGTTTTTATTGTTTTCCTTTTATTCCTCCCCTCCTGCTGTGTTTTAATGCTATAGTGACTTCGCTGTGTATACAGCTCTCATATTGAAATGTCTGCTGCAGATATATGCAATATTAAAGAGTGCTTATGAATTTTTGACATCTAATTAGTCGCTACCCAGTTAACATGTCAAGACTCAGAGGGATTCAGGAGTCAGCCCTTTCTGAATAAGTTAAAGCTCTGCCCTGTCCTTTTCATGTATTATTCTTTAATGTAGATGGTGATTATTTTGCTGTGATTAATTGATGAAGCTCATTGGTCTGGCAAGTGTTACAGAATTCACCATTCCTCACTTTTATTTCTCTCGGTTGGGCTTTCCTCCTCATCGAGAAATTGGTTCTATTCTGGAATGGGGAAACACTTTTTCTTTCGCAAATAGGTTTGAATTTTGCTTTTGCCTTTCAACATGTTATCAGCTTAACCTTTTGTCTTTGGCTGAAACAGTTCATTATCTTCTTTTTTTTTTAATGACCAAAGAATGTTTTTGCTTAATTCCCTCTTCCTCCCATCCTCTGCCTACTTTCTGTATTCATTGATTTGAGTGAAAATTACAGACTTCTCTTAAATACTGAAAACAGAATTGCTACTTTGCAAACCTGATCTGTTAACACTGCAGGATTGGATGATACACACAAATCCATATTTTTGTTTGTTTGTTTGCTCTTGTTTCATATTCCTTTTGAACATCTATTTGGAGAGCCTGATGGCATACAAAGAGCCTATAATGTCTTGCATATCTTTTTTTTTTAATCCAAATTTTGTTTAGGGTACTCTTTATTCTCTTGCTGCCATCATTTTCCTCCCCTTCCTGGCACCTGTAGAAATCACGATGATGCTCATTTCAAAGAAGACAATTACATACAAATGCAGCAGGGTATTGAAGTCTTTGCTAACCTGCTAAAAGAACATTTTAAAATGTAAAGTACATTTTAGAAGTACATGCTAAAGGAACATTGTATTGATTATACACCTCTGGAGGAAAAAAAATGGGAGTCTAAATAATACCTGTATAGAGTAAGCTACAGAAAGGATTATATTACAAAAATTGAAAAGAATGGATATGTATATTAAATGGATACATTATATAAAAATCAGACATAGTGAGCCACCAAACTGCTGGCAGTGTTTAAATCCGTGATGCAGAACAGCATGGAACAATGCAGGGATTGGAATGGCAGTTTCTGAATCCCTAGTTATCCTACCCTCAACCTGTTTAATGTGGGAAGGGGGCCTGTCATTTGCTTCAGGGTTTCATGGGGAAGGCCTTTGCACACTCCCATCCCAGTAAGGCAGCCATTTGTTATAGAAAAATGAAACAGGTGGATGTTAGGAGGACAATTCATCAGGCAAATGTTTTCATGCAAATTTGAGCTTTAAGCAACTATCTAATCGTGCATCAGAGCCCCTTAGAACTTCATGTCATTTCCCTATCTCCTCACAGCGAGGCAACAGAACAAAAGGCTCCAGCCATCTCTAGCTGCTGCTATGGACAAAAAAAATAATTACTTTGCTAAGTAATTCTCAACTCCGGCCCATCATAAATCTCCACCATTCAGTTCTGTACATCGGACAATAAGAAAGCTCCGAGCCACTTATTTCAACGGAACGCTTCACCCTCCCTCAACCATCCTGCAGAAGAAAAGGTATCCATATGAAATAATCTTTCACCTATAGTCACCAGCCGGAGTTTTAATTATAGCAGCTATGCACCATTCAAGTGCTAGTTACAATTTTGTCTCTCTTCATTGCAGGTATTCTATTAAATCTCAGGCGTTTCTTCAGGGCACCGTTGTCTGTACCTAAAAGGATATAAATATATACAGATTAAAAAGAAACAAAAAGTAAAACATCAGTCTGTCAACACTTTCATTCCAGCATTTTGAGGGTGCATATGTGTGTATGTGTGTGTGTGTGGGGGGGGCGAGCAATGATTTCCAGAATGCCAGAAGCAAATTCATAGTGTGAGAAAAAAACTATAGAGTGGCTATACCATTCATCAACCCATAACAATTCCTCGGAAATAAAGGAGCATGAATATTGGCATACAAAGAGGAAGAAATGTGAAAATTTAGGTGAGAGAAAGAAAATGGTGTATTTATAATGGGGAAAGGGGAGCTAACATGAAAGGTAGGGGGACCTGGAATTAAAAGAAATATCAATCTGTACAAGCACTTCTGCCACACAGTAGATTTCTATCAGAAGAAAACATTGAACTTTGTAGTGTTAGCAGCAGCTGAAATTTAGAATTATTGTTTCCTCGTAACAGAAGACTCATTTTCCACGGCCGCATTTGCAGCATAATAAGCTTTTTGTTATTTTTTCAATTAGAGTCAATTGACCTAACAAAATGGTTGGCAATTAAGTGATTTTTGTAATGGTCCGGGGGTAATTTAGTCGAGCTTGTCAGCTGTGTTTCATGAAGCCGAGATGTCTTTTTTCCCCCATTGCCTCTCATTTTCTCTCTGCCTCTCTCTCTCTCTCTCTCTCTCTCTCTCTCTCTCCCTCCCTCCCTCGCATAATGGCTCATAATTTCAAAATCTTTTCCTTCTGTTTCCCTCACAATAATTCACAATTACAGGAAGTTGTTGGAGGTGATTCTCTCCCCACCTTCCACAGCTTACCTTTTGAGTCAGTAATTTTAAATAAAATGTACATACTGTAAAAAGGAGAGTTGGGTAGAGAAGGGAGAGGCTATTATAGAAATCACATTTTTATGTAAACTCAATTATTTTATGAATAGTGACACCAGTTTTAACCTTAAAAGGCTGATATATTATTATTATTTCCTGGCCTAAATATTTGAAATAGGAAGAACACTTTCTCTAAATAAAAACAGTACTCAGTCAGGCCAAAAAAAAAGAAGGATTGCACTAATTTCCAAAGAAAGTAAACAATAAATCCCTTCCAGCTCTATTCTATTCTAAATGTATTGCAAAAACATACAGTATAATTAGTGGCTGTAATTTAGGTTATTGTGTTTAATATCTATAAAGATTTTTTATTTGCTTGTCTGATTTATCTTATAACATTTAGATTACCAATTCCAGTTTTTTAAAAAAGCTTTTTAAATCTATTTTTGAATTTGTTATTAATTTTGACTGATGCATAGACAATAATATTCTTTTATGCCATCCATCCATAGGTTTTTATCTATCTTAAACCTAAATCATATTTCTTAATTTATTTTTTAAAAATATTTTATCCAGTTCCTTAATGACCTTGTATGTTATACTCATCATTTGGGTTAAAGAAAGTTTTTAGAAGTTCTTACAAAAAGATGCATTGTCCCTCTAATATATTTGCTGTATTTTTTCATTATATTAGGAACAAAAAGGTCTTGGTTGGCAAAAATCATCCAAAATTACAAATAAGCAAGAGTTTTTTTCCATTTTCATCCAATGAAATATAAAGAAACTGGTGGCTTGATTTGATTCAAAATATTTATTGGGGGATATTAGCATGTATGAGATGTATTTAAAAAACAGCAAAAAATACACTATAGGAAATTGACAATTATAAAAGTTGTAATCAAAAATTACAAATGCTTTTAAGAAATGAGAAAAATTAATCAGATAATATTCTTTCCAGAGCAGAAAATGTGGCTTTCAATTCCTACATATGGGCTTTTGCTAAAGTCACTAAACCATTGTTTGTTAAACAAGCATCTACTTTATGTGCACTTTCCCAAACTGTCATTGTTATCTAAAATTTCAACAAGATTGTCAATTATACATTTACGGAATGGAAACAAGGGTGTAGGGGACGTAAGAAAAAGACCTTTGAACCGGATTAGACATTCTCAAAGATGTCTAACTTTTGTTGAGGATGTCTGTTCATTTTCTTTATGATTGCCAGGGCTTTTTTTTGTGTGTGTGTAGGGGGGGGATGGCTTTGTCAAGAGGGAAAGCACATCATTCTCCATACTAAGCTCAATTTTGGTGTGTTCTCCAGAGCTTTGATTAATCTACTGCACTAACCTCCCTCCCAACACTTCATAGACTATAAAAGGAAAAGTTACAGTTCTGAATGAGCGTCGTGCAAGAAAAAAGAAAAAAAGAAAAAAGAAGCTGAAGCATAAAGTATTAAACTTTCATCTGGCACCATAGGAGAGATGTAGTTATTAAATTTCAGCTGCTTATCGAACTGATATGAAAGTCATTTTGCATGATTGCTTTGCATCCTCAAATCTTCTGCTTTTATTTGCTGTGCATCTCTCTGCTTTCTTATTAGAGAAATACTCAAAGGATAAAAAAGCTGATAATATTATTCAGTTTTGACAATTAGGTGGGAAAAACATTTTAAGAAGTGCTTTTTTATTGCAGCTAGTAATAATATTGGTGGTCCTCCTGGTAACTGTCTCTGCTGATGTTACCCAGGAGTGATGCTAGTTCTTTTACCCAGGAACTGCTAAAGCCCTAACGGGTAGAGTGGATAAACTCAAGAAGATGGGCCAGCTATGTCATTCCCAATAACATAAATTTCACATGCAGTCTTAGCTTACCCGGTTCGCACAGGTTTTTCCATGCCTGTGTACTCCCATTCTACCAACCATAGGTGCCTCCCAAATGTGATGAACAGATATATACTCATCCGTTTTTTGTTTTTTGTTTTTTGCAAAGCCAGGTATCAATCATAAAGACAAGCACTTTGATAATATATAGAAGCAATTCCTGAATCTGTAGTAAATCAAGGATAGTGTTTATTCAAATGCTTTCCCCAGAGAAAGTAAACATACTTTTTTTTTTTCCCTGGTCCCATAGACATGAACAGAGAAGTTAATATCATATGTAGCATAGCCTTCCTATCATGCCACTATTGCTATCTTTTTTTTAAAAAAAAAATAAACCTCAATGGCAAATGGCACTAGTGACCATCCAGGACCAGCAGGATAAAACTCAGAACCATTAACTGCAGATGGAGCTTATACAGGGATGAAATCCAGCAGGTTCTCCAGAACCAGTAGCGGAAATTTTGAGCAGTTTGGAGAACCGGCAAATACCACCACTGACGGGCCCCAGAGTGAGGAGGGAATGGGGATTTTGCAGTATCCTTCCCTTGGAGTGGGAATGGAGATTTTGCAGTATCCTTCCCCTGCCACGTCCACCAAGCCACGCCCCACCAAGCCACGCCCACAGAACCAGTAGTATAAAAATTTGGATTTCACCACTGAGCTAATAGCCAGTGGTTTTACAACAGTCAATTAAGGCAGATCTCAGGAGGTGAAATAACGTCAAGTAACAATTAGCTTCAAGATCTGAGCATTGAGAGAAGATGCAGAGGGAATTAATTCCATTCCTAGAAGCCCTTCCTTAAAGGAGCATCTTTCTCTTCCAATAGCAACTTTTTTCCAGAGAGGAAACAAAGTCAATAATTCAGGCTCGAGTACATAGAGGGCTGGGGAAATCTCATCTGCACACATACAGAAGAAAATCACTACCTCCAGCCTGCAACTGTTTCGCTGTTTCAGTAAAAGCCCATTTCTCAGACAGGCAGAGAGGTTTACTTTTTTTTTAACCACAAAGATCATCTGAACACTTTCAAGATTTAGAGATTTGTATCATAAACCAATTAATAGTCTAATGCAGGTTGTGAAGAAAAGGAAGGAAGGAAGGAAGGAAGGAAGGAAGGAAGGAAGGAAGGAAGGAAGGAAGGAAGGAAAACCCAAAAAATGGGAGACAATGGGAACAATGGGAAGAAGGATAACAATGGTGAAAAGGGGAGGATGCACAATTTTTTAAAAACGACAAATCCACAAAAGGTAAGGGATTTCTCAACTTTTAACCTGCATCAGTGGTGGGTTGCTCCCGGTTTGGTCCGGTTCTATAGAACCGGTAATGAAGCCGGCAGGAGGCTCCGCCCACCCACCACGTCATGATGGGTGATCTGCGCATGCACATAAGTATGTGCATGTGTGCGCTTCTGCTGCAAACCGGTAGTAAAGTTAAGTGGAACCCACCCCTGATCTGCATCCCTTTGTCTCTACAGTTGACCCCTTACTTCACAAATTACCAAATTATACAACAATACTTTGGAAACATCTAATTCAAACAATATTGATTATAGGTATTGAAGGCAAGAGATATCATACAATGGGCAACATGCTTATATAATTAGAATGAGTAAAAACTCTCACTAACTGACAAGCCCTTATTTATGGAATGCATTCATAAAAGAAGCAAGGGAAAGGAATGTAGCAAAAAAAAAATCAGAACATCTAATATCAATATTTTTATTATATCTTAATTCTCTCAAAATGTTTAAATGAACATTGATATAGATGTCATGTTTCTCATTTGTTTTTGTTTATTGTTACTTTTTATTATGGTTTTATTTTTTATTTTTTATTTATATTAATATAAATTAAAATTTAATTTAAATCTAAATTATATATCATATATACATATAAATTATATAATTATAATTTAAAATAATTTAATAGATACAGGTAGGTAGGTAGGTAGGTAGGTAGGTAGGTAGATAGATAGATAGATAGATAGATAGATAGATAGATAGATAGATAGATAGATAGATACAAAAAAAAACAATAAGAACAAGTTTGTTCTAGTGGTTAAGGCACCAGGCCAGAAGTTGGGACATGGTGAATTCTAGTCCCACTTTAGGATGAAAGCCAGCTAGATGACTTTGGGCAGTCACTCTCTCTCTCAGCCCATCTCACCTCACAGGGTTGTTGTGGGAAAACTAGGAGGAGGAAGGAGTAATAGCTATGTTTGCCATTTTGTGTTATTTATACAATTGTATATTATTTTTGCAAATAAGTAAGGTGGAATATCAATCAATC